AGGACTCTCCCACCAAACAATAGCCACCTCCCCACCCGCCTTCCTGTCCTCCACGCCTCAAGCAAGGTTAGTGTTCTCTCTCTTCATAGTGGTACCTCGGGTCATGAACTTAATTCATTCCGCGACTCTGATCGCAACCCGGTGGTACCTCGGGTCATGAACTTAATTCATTCCGCGACTCTGATCGCAACCCGGTGGTACCTCGGGTCATGAACTTAATTCATTCCGCGACTCTGATCGCAACCCGCCAAACAATAGCCACCCCCCCACCCGCCTTCCTGTCCTCCACGCCTCAAGCAAGGTTAGTGTTCTCTCTCTTCATACTGTACTGTACTGTGCTTTGTGTCATATTTTTCTGGTTTAAAAAAACAACAACATATGGTTCAGAACGGATTAACCGTATTTACATTGAACCTTATGTGCTTTGTGTCATATTTTTCTGGTTTAAAAAAACAACAACATATGGTTCAGAACGGATTAACCGTATTTACATTGAACCTTATGGGAAAATTTGATTCGGGTTGCGATCAGAGTCGCGGAATGAATTAAGTTCATGACCCGAGGTACCACTGTATATATATAAAGACATCTAAATAAGCAATATCAAAATAAAATAAAAGCAGCTACTGCCTACAGAAAAAGAGGTTTATTTCATTTTGATCATTGGTGTCACAGAACTAAGGAGACTGCAGAATGTTCACCTGTAACCATTTATCCTACGTACTTTACTTCTACTGTGGGCATGACCACTTCCCACTCAACTGCATCTTATACCAGAATGATGCTGTTACTTTCCATTTACATTGAAGAACTTATTCCTACTGAAGAGAATTACTGGTCATACTGCCTTTGCAGGACTGTGGGTTTAAAATGCATAGTCCCAAACTCACTATTCCAATTATTTAGAATATCTTGTAATTCTGGGTCAGTTTTAAGATCACTGTCACTTCTATCACTGCTTTTTCTAACTGCTCTGCTCAGGTGATTCATGAAAACACAGACAATGCTTCTCTGTGTTCTTAGCAATGCTTCTTGTGGGAAAATTCAAATAATAAGGTGTATTTAATACCAATTCTTAAGTTTGGTTTAGAAGTGGATGTTGACTAGAGTTGAGCAGATATGACTTACTCTAATATTGCTGGGACCCAGCCTGAAGAACATATACCTGAGTTTGAGCTCTGACTACCATAGCCCATCATATTTTACTTATGCAAGTTTCAGCATGTTCCCATGCTCAACAGCAGCTTGCAGGGAGATAGACAGATGTATCCTTTTTCCAGTACAGCAATGCCAGGATTAAATGTATAGGAAATTACAAAAGAATCTTCATCTCATTTATACCTGGAAATATAAAACTGGCTTGCATAAAGTAAACTGCATCATGCATTCCATCTAAATTATTACAAATGTACAGTACATGCATGCATACGTATTTAATTAAAATTGTATCTAATAAGCTTTTTAACATTTCTTATTCTAGTCATTTTTAATATCTTCCCCTTCCTGGTTTATTAGATGCCTATTCTTTAAACTATAGCTAATTTTGTGCATATTCATAATAAAGACAAGACACCAAAGATGTGTGCAGTACCAGAGAAGACTGATCTTGTACAGTACAAATTACTTTACAAGGCTAGGGAGATAAGTCAAGATGCTGACTATCCATCTGAGAATAAACATGTTTCCCATCATATCCTGCAATAAAAGTCTGGTTATGTGTTTATTTTAGTAAATTTCTTTCTGGTTCTTCAGTAAAAGCTATCAAACAAAAGCTATCTTTTGTTCAAACAGAAACAATATTACAATTATAAAACCAAATTAAAAGTGAAAAAAATCAAACAACAATAACTGTGACTGGTTAGCAGATAACATTAAAAACAGAGACACTGTTTTTCAGTTAGGCAGATATAAACAGCTTACACAAAATCAGGAGTGGCAGAATTGCTGGGTTCTTACTCTACAGGAGGCTGCCATCGAAGACCATCTGGACGCGTCGGTGGGTCCCGAGTGCAGTGGCACAGGTCGTTATGGGCAGATCTCATTATGCCCATGTAACACTGCTACTCCATGAGCTGCACTGGCTTCCAATAGGCTTCTGGGTACAATTCAAGGTGCTGGTTATCACCTTAAAAGCCCTACATGGCATAGGACCAGATTACTTGAGGGACCACCTTCTCCCAAGAACATCTGCCTGCCCCACACACTCCCACAGGGAGTGCATGCTCCAGGTTCCTTCTTTTAAATCTTGTTATCTTATTGGACCCTGGAACTGTGCCTTTTCTGTGGTTGCCCCTGTTCTTTGAAACAATCTCCACCCTCCACTCCATCATATGACAGGCCCCAGCTCTGCTCACTTTTAGGAAAGCCATTAAGACCTGGCTCTTCACCCAGGCATTTGGGGCCAGTTGAGTGAGAGTCCCCTTTTGGTTGTTTAATGTTATATGGTTTGGGAGGGTTTTTAAATTGTTTTGTATGCTGTACACTGCCCAGAGTCACACTGTTTGAGTTGGGTGGCCTTATAAATCTTGTTCATAAAATAATAAATAAACAAATACTCTGCAGTAAGCCGTAATGTGGCTTCTTTAACTTTGGTTTAGCGTGATGTGCAAATCATTGTGATTTTAAAAAACAGGATTTATGGCTTAGTAGGTTCTCCTCACTGATTGCTTAGTGCTTGGGCTGCTGGACTGCTGCTTTGTGCCCACTGTTTCTGTACATAACTGCATCTGCAGATACTAAAAAAAAAAAGAGACCTTCAGTATGCATTCTTTAATATCTGGCCATATCCAGTGAGAGAAGTGTGAGAAACAGTGGAAGAAACTATCAGATGTGACAGGAACAGAAACAGAAAACTCAGGGTAAAGGCGAAATGTAGATGTTTGTTGTAATCACTGCCACTTAATTTGTGCACTCACTTTTTCAGATATAAAAGGTGTACAACACAGAGGAACTAGTTCCCCAGTTACACATGGCTAGAACTACTGCAATATTATGCATTTGTCTGAAAAACTGTGGGCCACAACTGATGATTCCAAATCAGGATTTGGTCTACTAACGTAAGTTTGACACTTTAGCTCCAGGACCAGCTACTGTCTCCTTAATAAAACAAGAGGGCATCATTGTCAGACCAAAGTTGATAAGGAATGAAAGCCCTGCCTCTAAATTTTGCTTTGTAATCTTTGAGTGCCTTGACATGCCATTTAAAGGATAATGAATGAATTCATTTAAAAGGATAATTATTATGGAGTTTAATAGAGCAGGCAAGCCGGTCATTAAAGCTCAGAGAGAATTCTTGTTGTGTTCATTACGTAAGGATACCACAGGGATCTGATATTTACCACCACTTTGTACACTATTGACCCGCTCTGTAGGGTCTCACAATAAACTCTGATTTACAAACATTTAATTACAGATATAAAGTTTGCCTGAAATATAGAACATCTGGAGAGGAGCCCGCTATATAGATTGCACACCAAGTAATACTAAGAATAACTACACATTTCCATACTTCTTTTCTTTCAAATGATTTCTTAAATGACTACGTAATGCTAGGTAATAGTTTAATTATATTTCACTGAACTGATCATAGTCAGTTGAGATTATATAACATGTTAAGCTATAAACCATGGTTTACAAAGCACAATATGTATATTTGCACAGCGTGCCAATCGAAAACAAATCACATTATGGCTAAGCACAACACATAAAGTCAATCCCAAACTTTATATCAATCTAAGATTACTGATACTTGTGCTGCTTTCTGAAATGTGGCCAAGGTAGCCCAATAAAAGGCCCTTTCTGTTGTAAAGCCTCTATAAGAAGTTAATTCTGATATCCTTCCAGGAGCAGGCCCAAAATGATGTTTATTTCTTACGGCCTTCTAGCACATAATTGAACTAGGTTTTAAAATAATATGTTATTGCTTCTTCTGGTTTTAGGCGTCTGTCATACTTTTGTTGTTTCAGCTGATTTTATATTTCAATTTATTGTAGTTGATATTGTTTTTATGATCCTTCTGGGCCACTCTGGGAGTTGTGTGTAAAGCAAAAGTACAAAACATTTTAAATGAAGAAATTATGATTGCAGCTACTCCACAGGAATACCTATGGATCTGCCTCACTAAAAAAAAAATAATACAGATACTTGGCTGGATGTTACTGGTAGGTACGTAGGGATAAGAAAAAATTACAGAGAATGTCATTTCCCTCAATGTTCCCCCAACAATATACTATAACTGTTTTTTTCACTCATACAGATTGGTCTCCTCCCTAATCCGGCTTCATCCTCCAGTATCTGAAATGTATACATTTATCTTCTCTATTTTTTCCTCTTTTCTTATTCTCTGCTATCAGGACAAAATGCACCAGAGTGAGTCATGTTATATCATAGTAATGACCAGCAACCAAATTCAACAAATATAGTTTTCTATCATGACTGCAGCATAAGTACCTTCTGGGAAAAAAGGCTCATATTGTCAAGCAACGATGAGTAACTTTTGGATATCAACTTGTAATTTATTTATGTAGAGTGTTTACTGCCACCTTCCTTCCCTCCCTGTCTAAATGGATGAAGTCAGATTGAGTCTTTCAGGATTAGCTGAGACTATCTGAAAGCTGATGTCACTTTCTTAAAAATGCAGTTCAGAATAAGGGGAAGAATGAACAAACTGATTGTGGTTTTTTTAGAGGTAAAGAATTAGCTGAAATATGAGGAAGCCAAAACTAAGCCAGTGTTGGATTTGTCATATGCTCCTTGCAAACTATAAAGCTAAGATCAAATTAGGTAAAGTAAGGTCAAATAAAGTAGCAATTGTCTTCAAGATCATTAATACTTGCATCTGAATGCCTGACATCTAACTTCAACTGATTATATATTTAGAAGATTTATATGGCTGCTCAACTTACATGATCGTGACCCTGGATGGTGTACATCAATAAAACCAGATGAAAAACCCAAATTACAATCTATAACCAACAATATCAACAAAAACAAAAACTCAACATAGCTTATAATAGAAGAGAACAGATGTACTGTAGCTCAGGGTTGAACTGTGGAGTTCTTGGTGCTCTCTAAGCTTGGTTGTTTGCTGGCAGATGTTTCATTACCCAACTAGGTAACATCATCAGTGCAAGAACTCCACAATAGTGGGGCCCATCAACACACACTCCTCCTCCCACTCTCAGGGCTTCTAGCGAGGATTCATGGTGAACTAGATGTCCCTGAAGGATCAGGGACAGCATTGCAGTGGAGATTGGCGGCCAGAAAGCGAATTCTGGCCAGCACAGTCTCTCCAGAAAAAGGAGAGATTGTGAGATCACCCACTTGCACTTCAGACAGCTGCTCATCTTGAGTAGACTGCAGGAACTGAGTTTTTTGCAGTCAGCTCATAAGTTGAGCAGCTGGGAGTTGAGGGATTTCAATCAAGCTCACAGCTGTAATACAGCCTATATGGATATAAAGTTCACAAGAGCCTAACTTCTTAACCACTGTTGGATTTATTTAATTTACAGCTAAAGAGAGATCTTTCTGAGTAGCAGAATAAAAATTCCACTTTGTGAGTTATTATTTTTTCTGGATTACAAAGGAATAAAAAAAAGGGTTCTAAAGAACACACACTCCTCCTCCCAAAGATAAGCTCATCTATCAGCCTGGCCCAACAAAGCTAATAGGGTCAGGGCCAACCAAATTTTGGCAGGGGAGGGGCAGAGATCATTCCAAAGGATAGATGCCACATAAGGGAAGGCATGGCTCCTATGTCCCACCAGATGGCACTGCTTCAGGGAAAGTGCTTGGATCATGCCCATCCTGTTAAAGCGTGTGAGTCGGGCAGAAATAACTGGAGAGAGGCAGACCCACAAATAATGGAACAGCAATAGTCGTACTGTAAATAAAAAATTATTTCCTTGAGATTTGTCACAAAAACATATACATTACCTTGACTTCTAGAGCTTCTGCTAGTAGCTTCCGTGCATTCTGTCTAAGGCCCTCTGTTCTGGGATTACACCTAACTTCAATTAAAGGTCTGTTTGACTGGTTTTTAATGAAGCTTCTCCATTTAGTGTACACCTCTTTTGCAAGAGTGGCCACATCCTGGTCTGGATGCTTCCGCATCTTATTCACTGTATGACCTTGGAGTAAATTAAAGATATAGAGTACATAGTAACATTGGATGGAACATTGCAAAACTGGGAGAAAGCTGAAAAACACCTTTACTCGACTTTTTACAGCTGCCACTACAATCTAGAAATCCTGCTCATTGAGGAGCAATTGGTTGCTGTGGCATCTATTCTCAAGCCAGAATTATTTCTTTTGAGACCTATTATGACCTGGAGATTTAGCAACAGAAAGGCATTTGGTGAAACCAAAAAGAAAATCCAAATCCATGAAGTTGCTTTCCTAGTAATTGTCCATTTCATGATATCTAAAACAAACTGAGAGCTATCTGGGGAATGTCAGTCAGAAGGAGCAATTAAAATAAGCTCACTGAGCACAGAAGGGGAAAATGAAGAAGGCATTGTTCTGAATGCCTGGTGGTTTCAGTGTGTATGTTTGTGTGTCTAGATGTGTAACTTCTTTTGGACTGAGGGCAATATTCATCCTTTGGAGAAAGCCTGGGGTTGTATTCCAAAGAATGGGCAGGACCAGGCCAATACTAAACTTGATTAAACATAGAATTCAAATAACTATGAATTAAATCAATATGATTACTCCCCATGTGTTTAATATTCTCCCTTTGAACATTTCAAACTACATCTTGGGGGCAACTTCTCAAAGGACCCTGAGAGCTGGATCTTAGGTTAGTGGCTCTTATATGTCATCTAAAATGCTTAGCGTTTTATAAATGAACACACAAGAAATGTCCCAATTTACTCCCACAAGCCATGATACCAGGTTCCCCTGGTAGAATATAAAAGAAAATTGTTACCTATTTTCGTTGAAAGTAAAATTTCCTTGGAGGGTATTTTCTTCCTCAACTCCATCAAGGCCTCAATTAGATTCTCCTTAGGTTGAACTGAAAGCTCTAGTGCAGATTTCCATCTTTTTATATCTTCTACCACCACAACTCTCTAGGAAAGAAACCCATCATTAGGAGCTAGAATGAGACACACGCATTTACTGCAAACTCATTTCCTGTGCTTTGTGTCAGCTAACACTGCTGGTATTGACCTATAAATTACTGATGATGATGGGCAGTCAAATACAGAAAATCAGATAATCCGCACAGATGAGTACTTGTTTCACAGCGAGTCCCTGATGTAAAGCAAGTGAGCAAAATCTAGAAAGCAAAATCAACTCATTAGGCTGCCATCTTCAATTCACTTACTATTCTGAAGAGAGTGCTTTGAGCAGATACTCCTCGTAAAAATCCAAGAACACTTCATAATGTTGTCAACTACACAGCTCTTCACTACTGTCCAAACTAAACATGTGCTTGTTCGCTCTCTCTTTCTTGGCCTCCAACATTTATTATGTGTCATTTTTACCTCTAAACTCAGCCACTGCTGTATCACATCATTCATATTCCTCACGCCTCAAACGTACACACTACTGTGACACATCATACATATTCTTCTGAATCATTCCACTACAAAATAATTTTTCCACTGCTCTCTTCCTTATGAAATTATATTATTTTCTCCTGACTTCCTAAAGTTTTTTTCTCTTCTTATAGCTAATCCTTAAACTCTTCCCTATTCCCACATTTTTTATAAATTATTTTCAACTACAAGGTCCAATGTAATTATCATCTACACCTTTCTTCCTCTGTTTAGGTCTCTGTTTCAATAGTCTCTATCTCTAAATATGCTTTCTGTCCATTTTCAATCCCCCAGCTGACCTGCCTGGTCCAAACATATTAAACTTCTTCACACTGATAACATGTTACTCCCTCATTACAGAGATACTGCTATTATTTATTATGATAATAGAACTCAGCAAAGGGGTGCTTTGAAATCCCAACATCATTTAACTGCTGAAGAATAAACTAGCCATACAGACAATTAAAAAGTCTCTCTTGAAGCAGCCCTGAATGGAATATGCTGGGGAAACCTGACCAAAAAGAAAGCTGAGCTGAAAATAAACAAGTAGAATAAACTAGGATGATTTAAACTTGCTTTTTTGTAAGGGTTGCTCTTAAAATAGAGGAGATAATTTAAAAGAACTAATTTTTCCACATTATTGCTGTGTCTTATGAGAGAAACTGCTAAAATTGGTGTTCATTGGAAATAGTTTCTAAAATAGTTACAGTGTTCTATATAATTAAAATTGCTATCCCAATAATGTGAAATTACAACTTTTTCAAGACCTTCATTGATTTTTAAATTAGTTTGATTTAGTTTTATTTTGATCTGATATCTCAATTTTTCAAATGAATAATTTTACCTTATTGTGCACTGTTGGCTAGTAAGAGTTTTTAAAACAGCAGTTCATGGGAGGCAGCCAAACAATAAATGCACTGACTTACTAACCAAAGTAAGAACCACGGGGGAAGCTGTCTCATTTGATTTGCTTGCTCCATTCTAATGGTATAAGCAACATCTGATGCCATTACATTTCTCAATATATTTTTGCAGCCTCACCAAACCACCATTTTCCCCAAACCTCCTTCAAAATGTCGTATAATCCAGTTAATGTTTCTTAAAACTTTGATAAAGTTCATTCATTAGTTTTTCCAAAGGTTACTTGGGCTGAAGAAAAACTCAAGTGGTTATTTCTGAGAACTCAAATGAAACCTTGGAGCAATGCAACTGAAATTTCATTTGGTTCATATACTGAAATTACAGGGTACAAGAAAAGTTAACAGTCAACCTTGTGACATTTTAGTTAATGATTTTCCCTTACAAGTGTGAAAAAAAATAGGCTTCCTTTTTAATTTTTTCCCCTTCTGAGCACTGATTGCCCTATTGGATTTTAACTACATATTTCAGAAAACAGTCCCAGCATTAGAGTTTATCCCCTCAGAAATATTGCCATGTTGTTTGAAATCAAAGAATAACACTAAAATATTACAATCAAATTAGTATAATTAGGAAACTATCTGATACTTTACCTTCAGAGATTCTATTGTAGCTTGTTTATAAATCTTTTTTCCAGGATCTCTCTTACTTGGTTCTCCTTTAGTTCCGGGTGTTCGTATAACAAATTTATCCATGACCTAGTCCATAAACAGGAAGAAATAATTGATTATAGCAATAGTTCTGTGGGAACGGAGGAAAGGAAGGATGATGTATCCGTCTTCATAAATGATCTGAGGTTAATAGTGATCTTGCAATTTGAACTAAGTACAAGGTCTGTAAATAATGTAAAAGTAGGATAGGCGTCTGCGCTCAGAACTAATATAATATAAATATCAGGCTTAAAATGTGTTACTATGTGCATGAATTGGGTGCCATTACAATAAAAGATTATCAAGCGAGATCGGGAACAAAGGTGAACCTGTTGAATTTCGTCATTGTACTTGTTGAGAAGCACAGTTCTTGGCAGATTTCTGTCTTGAGAGTTCTGTTTAAGCAAAATAACAGAAGGTGAACCACGTCTCACCTCGAAGCCGGCGCTATTTGCCAAAGATGTCTGTTAAATCCCGGAACTGCATCTCCTTCCGCTTCTCGCCCGTCCGGAACTACATTTCCCAACAACACTTCAACTTCAATCCGCTTTCCTGCCCTTCCCAGATTGATCATAGAGATAAAAAAGAATAGACTAACCACATCCTTCACAGAGACATAACTGCCTGGCGGTAGAATTGTTGTTGTTGTTGTTCCACAGGAGAAACAGTTCACTGGGGAAAAAAAGAGGGGGAATCTAAGCGTTCAGCATAATTGTGCTTGGACAGAGAATTAATCTACAACCGATGGCCTTCGCGCCGTCATATACATGTGTGAAGCTTCCTGTAAATACATATACCTCTACCATTCAATAGGGCAGGGTTTCTCAACTTTGGCAACTTTAAGATTTCAACTCTCAGAACTCCGCCACAGCATGTTGTCTGAAGAATTCTGAGTGTTGAAGTCCACACACCTTAAAGTTGCCAAGGTTGAGAAATTCTGAAATAAGGGAAGATGCTCCTGACAATGCCTATTGATGAAATAACTGGAATATATTAGGGGCTGGGAGGGACATGAACTTTTCTCTTTGTTTTTATGCTTTTCTGTTTACTGTTTAAATGTAGGATTATCTGCTCAGAATCAGTGTAGAGTCCATTTTTTTCTTATTCCCACATTTATCTCGGGAGCAAGAAAAGAAAAGAAAAGAAATCGTGGTGGGCAAAAGCCGGAAGTCAACCACCTATTTTTACAATTAGTAGCTCTCTGGCGCTATTGCGTCAGTCGGAAATGGGACGCTCGAGAGGGGGGTTAGCAAAAACAAACAGCTGAGGGGGGTTGGCAACAAGATGGCGGCGGCACGGCGGAGCCGTTTAGGGTCTTTCCTCCTGCTGGTCGCTCTTGGCTCTGAGGTGGCTTGGGCTGACCCGGAGCCCGCTCCGAATACCCTTTCCGAGGCTTTTGAGCCGGCGTTGGGAAGTACGGTTTTGTGTCAGCGGACGTGCCAGAGCACTTACCCGCTCCATACTTACCCCAAGGTAATAAAGGGAAAGGCGGCGGCGGCTTCGCCCCTAAATCAGCCGCCGGGCAGATGGCTTGTGGGACGCCTCCCAGTCTCGGGGAGCTGGTTATTCGGGGGTTGCCGGAAGGAGGAGTGGAGAGGCGTGGTGCCAACTGTTTTCCTATACACACACACACACACACACACTCACACCACATACATACACACATGCATACACGACGATACAAATTACGAGGGAGAGGTTTACAAATGGAAAAGGACGCCATGCAGACAATAGGCTAAGATTTCGTGAATGAAGCAGGTTGATGATACCGTACAAGCCTGTTCCCCAGAGCAAGACAGAGAGGGGCTCCTTCTGGCTCCTCGCCTGTTACCTGGGGAACAGGGCTTTGGTTGTCTATTAATTCGTTTAGGAAATGTGTGGCCTGCTTTTCTGGACAATGATTCCAGGTGCTGGTGCTGTCCAGATCAACGGTTGAGTAGAGCTTCCTAATCCCAACTCAGAAAATAGGAGTTGTTGCCCAACGGTTGAGTAGAGCTTCCTAATCCCAACTCAGATAATAGGAGTTGTTGACCAACACATCTGGAGTGTGCCATATTTGGAAAGACTGGGTTACATCTGAAATCCACACACACACACTTTTCTCCTTTGCTTTGTTGGCATGGAACAGATGACCGTCAGTTGAACCTATTCGTTTTGTAAGAAAGGAAGGAGTAAATTTCTTCCTCTGCATTGTTCCTTTTTTGTTGGATAGGTGGGGCCAGACTGATCTGCCCAGAATGACTTCCAGTTTCTAGTTTATATTAATTCCTTCAGTGATCATTAGGCAATGAATAAGGTTCTCTGCTGCCTCCCTAGTGTCTGATGGTAAGGATCGTATTGAGTGGTATTTGCATATTCATGGCATCTTATTATCCATTTACCTTTCTAGCAGTTTTATGTGTATATTAAATAGTGATGGGAATATGAAACTGGAACAGAGTCAAATTGCCACCTGTCTAACAATCTTAATATTTATACATTTTGTATGTAATTTTTGTTCATAAATCAGTGTGTCAAAGCATGTCATATACGGAATCCTGCAGTGTGGGATGGAAAGAATTTCAGACTGAATCATAAACCTTTGCTGTGCATGCTAAGACATTTGCACATGGCTAAATTAGGTTTGAGTTTAGTAATTCAAAACTGATTATATTCACTTTCAGGCCTCAGAAGATTCTGTAGCTAATGTAAATTTAATTCAAACTAGTTGATGTACTGCTTGAAAATATATTCCTGATTTTAAAATGCGTTCATATTTCATAATTGCAGCACATCATAGCAATGCTGTGCTTAATCCCCCATAATTGCTTTTAAAGTATTGAGCACATAATTGATTGCAGTCCACACATAATTGCTTTTAGAGAATGGATCCACTAGTTATAACTCTTCCAAAATAGAACTAGAAGTTATTTTATGAATAATGTAGTTAAAGGAAAGTTATGTCTTCTTGCAAGATACCTTCTATATGTGCAGTATGCAGAATCAATTCTTTGTATAGATTTTCTTCAGTTATTCATTTCACATGGTGTGAAGATTTTTAAGGCATACATAACTTTATTTTGAAAACTAATTTTACTATTTTCAACCATGTTAAAGGAGGGAGGGAGCTATTATTTTTATAGCCAAGTACCACATCTTAAATTATTGTAATTTGGCCAGCCAAGGACTACAAAAGATGAAGTGGGAGTGGGGATGAATTTTTAGTGTGTTTATTTATTTATTGAACTTGCAATTTTTATCAAGCCAATCAGAGGTTTAACACACCAAATAAATTTTCTCTTTTAAAGATAATGCAATATTATAACATTGTCATAAAGTAGTTTGCTGCAGAATATTGAAATTGTGACATTGTGCCTCAAGGGCCATGAAAAAGGGTTTGGGGCTCCGTTTAATCCAAGAGCCAACATTTGCCAGTCCTTGCTACCCATCATCTGTTCAATCTGAATTCTCAAAACCTGGGCTTTCTGTTGAAAATGACATAATAAAACATAGACTGAAATATTATAAAAGTTAAACTGCCCAGCATATTCTTTATATTTTATGTTATATACTGATAATTTTTTATAATAAGGTTATTCAAATAGTTATAGTGACTTACTTGACATTTAATTACCAGGAAGAAGAGCTCTATGCATGTCAACGAGGTTGCAGATTATTCTCAATTTGTCAGTTTGTGGATGATGGAATTGACTTGAATCGGACCAAAATGGAATGTGATTCTGGTAATATAAAGTAGTCTTTTTCAAGTTATAATAAAGTTTTTTCCCCAGTGTTTAAAGAACTGTAAAAACATTGTGGTAACCTGATAAGTTGCAAAGAGAATGTCATAATGATTTAGGGAGTTGCCTAGTCACAAAGAACAGGTAAACACTTCATGAAAACTAAATACAAGACAAAGTGTGAACTTGAGCCCTAAGGGCCAAAGAAAAGATTAGCCCCACAAACCACAGCAAAGTATTATCTCACAGAAGGAAACCTGATCAGACTTAGAAACACCCATCCCAGTTAACAGACAAACATAGCTACCCCATTTTCAAACAAAACAGGCAACACACACCCTAGGCAAAACATCTCCTATAATAACTGATGCACTACCAAAGCTCTACCAAGCTCTTCCCAGCTTATCCCAGCAATATATTTATTGATTAACTTCAAGAAAATCCAGAGTCTGCTACTGAATATCAAATTTTCAAAGGAGTTTTATTACAGGTTCAGAGAGGCAAAAATTAGCTCAAAGGCTGTGTGTTTCTATCTGCATATCTCCTTTTCATAAAAAAAAATCTCTAATGATTAATCAGGCTTAAGACATAATCACGGTGATGTTTTACTTGCTTTCTGTTTTGATAAGGCTGTTCTTGAATCTTGTGCATTACAGTTTGGTGCTTTATTCAGCTGTAAATCTTACTGACTTGAGTAGTTTTCCCTTCCAAATCAGCATGCATAGAAATAGACCCTTAACTGATATGCTTGATTTAGGGGAGGACTCTATTTTTCCCCTGTAGTTTGTTTACATGCTTTTTCTGATTACATACGTTGCCTGTTTCCTTTTATAATTATGAACTGCAGTATATGTTAAGTTGCATCCCAAGAGAGTTCAAAACTGAAAGGATCTACAGTATACAAACCAAGGACCTACAGAAAGCTATACCAAATTATTTCCCTTGTCTCTTTTTAATAGTTCTGTCATTTAGTTATTTTGGATTTTTTTTTTCAGATCTTGAATTTTAAAATGCTTCAATCTCAATTTGCCTTACTTTTCTAAACACTGGCACATTCGATTAATATGGGTGTCAAGATGTAGAGTCCAAAAATAATAGTATTAAATAGTATTTTTATGTTCATCTGTGCTTCATTGCTGCTATGGAATGTGCAGTCCTTAAAACTGAGATAATTGATGTTATTTTGCAGCGTGTACTGAGGCATATACCTCTCAGTCTGATGAACAATATGCTTGTCATCTTGGATGTCAGAATCAGTTACCGTATGCTGAACTGAGACGTGAACAAGTAAGTAATCTTAACTGTTATATCAGAAGCAGTAGAAGTTCACTGCTTGTACTCCTATTGTGCAGCTGATTTACATGCAAGTGTGAAGAGCCAAATTTTTAAAAAATCAACTTTTTATTTGCAGCTCATGTCCTTAATGCCAAAAATTCATCGGCTCTTCCCACTTACCCTTGTAAAATCATTCTGGAGTGATATGATGGAAACTGCCCATAGCTTCATTACCTCCACTTGGACTTTCTATCTTCAAGCTGATGATGGCAAAATACTGATATTCCAGGTACCTGCTAACTTGTTGTGTCACAGAATGTAAAGGGATTTGTGCAAAGGTGCTTCTAATTATTCAGTTGTAAATTAAACTTTTGCCTATTTCTGATAATATTCTAGTCATAAGATCATTAGGTTAGTACTTTAAAATGCTTACAAACTGTAATGCAGAATGTATGTGTCTGCTTAAACTAGTATTATTAACTCCTGTGTATGATGATTTTAGGTTTGTACACATCCTTTACTCTAATTTGAAGGTTTTATTATAATTCCAGTCAAAGCCAGATGTTCAGTACGTACAAAGTCCTGATGAGGAAAACCAAGATTTGAAAGCATCACTTGCCAAAACATCTTGTAAGTTACATGAAAGAACTTTGGGGAGTGTAACAGAAGCAATCATGGATTGTAAAAAAGATGTTTCTGTGCATTTGTGAAAAAGATGGGGGGGTTTTTTGACCTAACAATAAAGATTTTTTGTCACTTTTTAACTGATTTTTTGTACTGATGATAAGAAAATATAGAGTTGAATAGCAGGTAAGATTCAATTCAGTATAATGATTATAACAAGCTCAATAGTTACAAAAAAATGAAAATTCACTATATGTATAGCATGAATGAGTTCTGCCTCTCCAGAGTTGTGCTGGTAATTTACAAAGGCATTTCATGCAAGGATGTCTGCACTTCCTCAAGAAGAATTCCTTAGTGTAGACATACTGGTTAAACATGTAGATGCCTTTCTAAATGTCACCAGTATGACTTCAGAACAAGTTTTAAATTTCAGTTTATATTACAGCAGCTGAAACATATTCTTAAAATGAACTGCTGTTGTCCTAGTGGCTGAACCCCAGCAAGGCATAGCATGTTCATAAAAATGTAGATATGTACATCTGTTTAGCTGCTGTTTTCTTCCAGTATTGTAGGGTGTGTATGTGTGTACGTATGTATATAATATATACATGTATATATTAGCCAGTCACATTGATGGATTTGTTTCAAGCTGCAAATGCTCTATGAAAGTGTTTCAGATAGCATAAATTATTAGTATTCTTTGGTATTTGATACTCTCTCTTTTGTTTAATTTTATATATCATTCCAGAATAATTTAATACTCCTGATTGAAAATGCAAAGATTTGCTTTGTGTATCTATTATTTTATGATTAAAAGCTCAACTAAGTTGTACTATGATTTTTTTCAGTAGACTTACAATCAGGAGGTCCACATGCACATAAAGGATCTTTTGATGACGATGAAACTGAGAGTTTCTTCAGATGTATTTCGCTGTATGTATTTTTGGTATACAGAGTAACAGAGGAGCAATGTGTTTAGTTACCTACATTTTATTAGTTGTAGCTGACTAATTAACACAGACATGTTCTGTCTTCTATTGAAAGATTCTCGACAAAACTTTTAGCAAATTAGCAGCTGATTATTTATGCTGCACCCAGTTGTTCTGTAAAAGTAGAAAGCTGCACCATAAAGCTTCACCCTTCCCTTCTCAACTGACATTCTTCTTTCATTACTGAATACTGCTTTCAAACCCAAACTATTCTATACTATAGTTCTCTAAGTGATATTAATTTGAAGTAAAGCTATTGACTTGCATATAATATTGCTGGTTAAATGGAATATGAGAGATGTTAAAGTGACTATTATATTGATGAGAAAATATTTTGTTGGTTTACTTTAGATAATGATGGGAACTAGCTATGGAGCAAAACATGATTTGACATCCTAGCTTATCTCAAACATTCCTACTTCAGTTGAAATAGAAATCTATGATTTAACTAAAGATTTCTGGAATTGTTTCAGTCCCAATGAGGAGGAAAGGCATAGTGCATATAGAGACAGATTGGACCATTGATGGATAAGATCTGAGTGGATGGTATTTTCGCGGTCACAATTACTTTTTTTCTTTCTTTTCCAACAAAAGGTGAGGCAGGGAAACAATGGCATTACTGGCAGGACTTTGAATTTTTTACTTCCCCTACTTTTATTCTTTGGAGTTGGGTGGGTTGGAAAATAGGTGTGTCAAATCGATTCTACTACTTTTTTTAACAAAATTAACAATCCAGTTAGTTGTTTGGCTATATGTGGGCTGTGTATTATCCATTCCTAACTTAAAACAGAGGCTATTGGAGAGTCTTAAATTCTCAAATATACTAATGCTCTTTCTGGAACCAGATTCAGGTTATTGGGTTTAATTGTGTAGGAGTAAATTTGTTTTCAGACAGGGGAATAATGTATGGAAAATATATTTCAATAAACCTCAAATGGTCTTTAGGAATATTCTGTTTTCTTGCCTTCTAGAAATTCTGGTTGGATATTAACAACCACTCTTCTCCTCTCTATACTGGTATTGCTTTGGATTTGTTGTGCAACTGTTACTACTGCTGTCGAACAGTATGTTCCATCTGAGGTAACTTACTACATTATCTTTATGTTATACTATGGCTTTCATTCACGTTCTATCTGATGGAGATATGTGATCAAATAAAACTCCTGTTAGGGTTTGTAAATAACCCAAAATTGTTTATAAACAAAATTGTTTATTCCTGTCATAAAATAAGTATGCAATTTTAATAGCTATTTGGGCTGTAAGAAAGGTTAGGAGATGTGCTTCATCAAATACCCCTCTGAATCCACCGCTGAAAGAACCATGATCTCTCAGAGGCTTATGATGGCCACTTCAAGGGCCTCCATATATTCCCGACACACATGTGCATCCACAGATAATAGTTCTGCTGTGAAAACTGCAATTAAATGGCCCATTTTAAATACATTTTGTTTTGGTTTTTTCCAGAAGCTGAGTATCTATGGAGACTTGGAGTATATGAATGAACAAAAATTGAATCAATATCCAACCTCTGCTCTCATGATAGTAAAATGTAAAGCTGATGAACAGGAAGCAGGACCTCTGCCTACAAAAGTTAACTTAACTCAATCAGCAATATAAAATGGAAAAACAGATGTATTAATCTAATTCTTAGACTTCTGTTAATTCTGGTGGCTTTTTTAAACTTGAAGAGGCTTTGGGGGAGGGTGGTAAGTCTTCAGATTCAAACAAAGTTGCAAAATCAAAGAAGGAATGAAATTCAGCCTCTTTCAGCAGTGAAGCAAATCCCATTGGGTACAAAGAGTTTGTAGTGCATTTACACTTGTCCACATTTTCTTGGGTTACTAAAAGTCATAAGTATTTGTCTATGCATTGACATTTGTGTATTATGAACATATGCCAGAAAATATATTTGGAATCTGTTTCAAAAAGTGTAATAATTTTTTGGTAGTCAAAAGCACTTTAAGTTATCTTAGCTGTGGATAAATTAAATGACCTTAGCATAGCTTGCAGACTTTTTAGTATTTCAAATATTTTTTTTCCACAACTAAAAATACGTTTTTGTTTAACCTTATACCTGTTTCCTCTGCTGAAATATTTGTGGGTCAGAAATAAACTTAATAAAATCCCTCTATATATTAGGGTGTCACTTTTGCATTCCATTCCATAATAGCTCTTATAAAATTAGGTAGCATTCTTTGCATGAAAGTTCTCCTTCATGTTTGTCATCTCAAGCTGATGGTACCACTTTTCAAAAACTTTACTAAAAAGAATATGGCTTGAAATCTTCCTGTACTATTTGACTTCATCTATGCAATATTTATCATGAACTTAATGGACACATAACTGGAAAACATGATTTCATGTTATGAAAATGGATTTTCCTATAGCTCTGTCAAAATTTCTTCCCTAGCCAACAATTTTTATGTTCCAGAGAAGGCAATTGAAAGCTATTGCTTTTAAAATTAAATTTGATACATTAATGCATGTTACAGTGGAAATTTGTTTACTGTTAAAAAAAAAAAAAAAAAGGTTCCTAAAATCAACTACAAAAGGCTGAATATTATCTCCTGGACTGTTTTTAAAAGACAAGTATAACTAATGAAGCATTAGCTCTTAGGATATATGATAACTTCTACCATGTCAATTGTTTTGATTTTAACTTGCAGGCATTAATTAACTTAATGTAATTAAATTGCTGTAATTACTTCAACTAGAATTGCTTTACATTACTTCTTTTTGGATTCTCACTTTTTTTATGATGTCTCTGCCTCTCAGATTAAGCACAGGTCTAAGCCACTAATATTCATTTGTAGGTTGAGAGAAAATTGTACCTTCTCTATTGGAGGCCCTTCAACATATTGCTATGAATTCTTTGTTCAGTATGAGAAACTTGAACAAAAACATAATCACCATTCTACAATAAAGTCATTAAAAGAGCCAGTAGCCCAGTTTTTTATAATATTCAATTTAAGGTGTTTCTTTCTTTAGTGAGCAAAGTCTATATTACAATTCTTAAAGGATGTTATCCTACAAAACCTCAGGTTCTGCTCTCAGAACAATTCTGAAAGTTCTTAAAGCAGGCTAGATAGGGAAACTACGCCCTTCTATGCTAGATAATCTCACAACAGGAGCAGCTTCTACTTGCCTGAGATAGGTGTTTCTTTCACCACAGCCTGTTAAAAAATGAGGCCAATTCTATAGGGTATAGAAAATACCTAGAGCAAGAGTTTCAAAAGTTATTCTGGCTAATGAACCTGTTAAATTCCCAGAACCTCTGATCAAAAGACAAAGCTCTCATGATGGAAAATTGACTAGATTTGAATGAACTTTTTATTTTTTGCCCCTAGTCTCACGGAACTCCCAGGAATAAAATCTGCAAAACCCTGATTTAGAGAATATGGCTTCTTTGATTTTTTAAAAATGCAAATACTGTTTATCACTATTTTTCACGGTTGGTTTGATCCTAATGTAACCAAGTATAAAACCATATGTGCTTCAAAGTATACCTCAGATAAGAAAATTAGCTTGACCCAGTTGTGATAAATTAATCTGTTTTAAGATACAGTGAAATATTTGAGTCCTTCATAACTACAGGTGAAACTCGAAAAATTAGAATATCGTGCAAATGTTCATTTATGTCAGTA